ATGGATGAATAATTAAAACTTTAAGAATAAGCTATCAGATTATTCTTAAAGTTCTCTGAGGTACTCTGACTGTTTTGTCACTGTTAAATAAAAGGACAATTACCGACTAAGTGTACGCCTGCCTTAACGTTCTCGAAGCGAGGAACAAAGCTTGTCCACTTATTCCTAAGTATAGCAAACAAAGCTCCCTAAGTGGACGCTTTATAAAGCGCCGTTGAAGTGTTTTAATGGCGAGACATTAATTCTATTTTTTTGCCTTCATGACCAATTATCTCGGTGAATTTTTGGGGAATCTTATTTAGGAGTTTTAATTTAATTTGTCATTCTCAATTAAACTTCGCTTTGTGTACTGCGCACCACTCCGAACTTGGAGATCTTGATCCATATTATTGCATGATAATAATAATCCTCAAAAAATTACGCCGATTAGCCAAATAATGGTTCAAATCAAGCCATTAACGTAAGATAATTCTGTTTTATTCTGTAATTATTGTACTACTACGCATTGTTGTTATTTTTCCAGTTAGATGTGAATTTAAAATGCTTTTGTTCAGTTGGGTATTTTCTACCTTCTTTTGTTTCTTTCTTCGACGCATAGTAAATTCAAGTTTTTAACGAGGATTTCTAGAGTAACATTTTGTAAATAAAACAAAGAAATGTAATTTAATTTATTAGTGAAATCACTATTGAAACGATATACAATACTAAAGAGAGTCTGACAATCGCGAATCTGATAGACGTTTTAGGTGTTGTAGGTGAACATTGAAAAATGAATTAAAATTTTACGTATTATTAACAAACGGCCTTAAATGTCATGATGGCTATGACTCAATGCCACACTTGCTAATGCCCAATTCCCATGCATTTTTGTTTGACCCAGACTGTTCGGATCTGGATATTTATTTCAAATAAGTGACGTCAGGCTGGCGGGCTGTCGCAAAAAATATAGATCACAATGATTCACATGATTTACCCACTCTACCTAGGATGTACAAGGGAAGAAAAAGAAGAAGAGAATGACAGAGGCAAAACAGTTTTCGCCACACATCTCTTCTTCTATTCTTAGTCCGACACTCTTGGCAGAGTGGTCGTGGCTTTCGATGGACAGGGTTCCATTTTGTCGTTGCTGCTCGCTTCCAAGGCAGCCGCATGTCTAGCGATGTTCCTCCATTGGAGGCGGCTGTTAGCATTGCGAGCACATTGTACTGCGTTTGCTTTCGTAGTACTGATGATGAGCCACTCATCTATCAACTTCCGAACACATAATAGTATAACATATTAAATTTCAGAGAAATCCTTGTAATTTATCTACATAAATTACAAGGATTTCTCTCAAATTTAATGTAGGAATGGGTTTTATGCTACAGATCTAGAAATACAATGATCTAAATGAAATATACTTGATAGTCACCAAAATTTACTTCTTCGATAATTTTATTTTTATCTTTGTCAGTACTTAGATAATTATCGCTGATTGTATTTTGTTTTTTTGATAATTTAGCCACTATATATAATGTATGTATTAATCAATGAAGGGTATTTTCATGGTGCTTTAGTAAAATTTGAATTAACCATTTGTACAATATTTTTGATATTAGCGAATAATTTGGTTAGCCGCCAAGAACGTGATTCTTAGTGTGGTTCTAAGTTTGAGTATGAATATTTTCTGCTAATTACATAGGAATTTGATTATGTAATACAACGGCAATGCAAATATTGAATTTTATTACTACATATAATTGTGTCTGAAATAATGTACACAGTGGGTATAGGATTCATTTTTTGTTGAAAATACTTTTTACTAACTTAATACTATTTATAATAATACAAAAATATCTGGTTTTAATCTTTGTCATTCAAAGTTTAATCTAGCATATCGATAATCGCCATTAAGATTAACTGGACAACATACCGTGCCAAATGCAATTTATCAGTACAATAAAAGGAAATAACAATTCGAGGGACTGTTTCATTTATTAATATTTTCAAATTCATTCCACACATTTGTTATACGTCTGTATCCAACTCTTAGTTTGAATTTATTAATAATGGATGATATTTAAACATCACTAGAGTTTAAGGAAGTTTTGAAATAATATGTAACTTTGAGATTTTTTATATATTATTATTATCGGTTTCAGCTCATCACTGAAGTAATTAATCTAAAATTATTTTCCTTCTCGTTACTTTCTAAAACGAAGTATTACAAATACGAAGTTTAGTTGTATCGTCTGACTCTCTCTGAAAAGGAGCCTAAATAAACATTTCTTATTCGAGGCAGCCTTAACGTTCTTGGTGGGTCCAGACTTTCAATTATCATAACATTATTTTCTTCACCTCTTCTTTTGCCACAATAAAAACAGACTATACCAATTATAGCAATCGTTACAAAAGAACATATTGCTATTAAAGAAATTGTCCAGGGGTTCCAAAAGTTTGAATTTGGTGAGATAGCCGGTGCGTTAGTTGTGTTTTCAAAATGTGTCGTATAATACCCATCATCGTTTCCAGATCCTTCACTAACATTGTCCTCTTCGTCTCTGGCTAAATTATATATTTCTAATGTTCTTTGAATGTTTTCTATAAACATATATTCCAATTCATCCAATCTGTTTGTATTATCTAGCATTTTATTATTCTTATAAGAGTCATTTGTAATTTCATTTATAACGTATTTGAATGATTCCACTAAAACAATTTCGTCGTGTTGACTACGTCCCTGAAATTTAAGCTGAAAATAGGATTTTTTTAAATATCTGAACAAGTGTTTCAATGCACAAAAGGTAAAATAATTTATTAAGGCAAGTTTTTTATTTGAAATAAAAATATACTTGTGCTTTAAATTTAATATAACTACGCAGAAGTTTTTGCTCTACCACAGCTTTTTGAGAGGTCTGGTATAACAGAAGATAGATTTAAAACTTTGCATTTCATAGTCATCATATGAAATGCAAAAGTTTAAAATATCACCTCGGTGCCACAGGGTATCGAAGTCCATGTACGGTGGTTATCTTTAGATCTGATGAACCGTGACTAAAATAGGTTATTTTAATATGTTGATTTAAAGTAATTTTACATATTTGATATTTTTGTATTAATTCACGTACTTACATATCCAATGAAATTTTTGCTTATCGGGATTTGCAATATATTCCATCCAGGTGAAAAGTTCGCACTGTATTTATCATAGCTGTAGGTTAAAACTGGAAAATTATACTCATCTTGCACAGTAATTTTTAAACCACTAGTAAAAGTTCTTAATTGAAGGTACACATTTACTTTCAAAATACTTTCCGGGAAAAAAATTATTGTAAATGATGAAGCACAACTATTGTCCAGCGCAATTATTGCATTTGAGCTTTTCGTTTTGGAAGAAAGAATTTTCGAATTGGCGTATTGTAATAAATGCCACGCCGTTGCATTTTGGCACGATCTGTTATCAAAGCACCTATTAAAATCATCTCCAAATGAGTAATCAATACCAATAATTTCTTGCGATACCACTGATGTAATTATAAATGTAAATATGAACAAATTTAACATTTAGTATTCCGGGAAAAGGACTTGACGAAAATACGCGATATACTGACACTATGATATAAAATTACTTCAAATGAATTAGCTGAAAATTTATGACCGTGATAAAAAGTGTACTTATATTTTTTGAACCTAGAATAGTTAATAACTTTGAATGTCTTACTTTTATCAGCAAATTGATATGATTGTTACAAGACAGACTTAATAATGCATTTTTCTTGAATACCTACCAGCAAATGTTTTAAAGATTTTTATTTTCTGTGACTTTTTAAGTTTCTGTCCATAGAAGTGAGTTAGTTGAAAAAGGCAAGAGAATCATCACCCGTAGAAATCGTGGTTTAACCAGATTCCACGAACTTGATACGGCCCTAAGCGTTGGGTAGAGTCGCGCATGTGCTGATGCGTGCATTAAATAGGCCATCGAGGTTCAATATGGACCGTGAACCCCACGGTCAATGCCTGTATTAATCGTTGGCTGGAGTCCTAGTGTTAGTTCCGTCGTGCTCGTAGATGAGAACGAATTAATCGGTCATGTGTGATAGTGTTAAACGCGAACGATTTATGTCATTTATTCGCACAAAAAATTACAGAGCGAGTGGTACCAAAAATGTTTAAATTTACAACATATTATACATCTACAAGGTTACGGTTTGAATTGAATGTAAACCCTTCCTTTTCTTTCGTATCACGAAATGTGCTTTGAGATGATGTATTTCTGAAATTTCAGTCCCCATTCTCGAAAAATGATTTAAATGATTGAGTCGATTTTCAAACAGGTACAGTGTACAACTGTGGTATCATATATGTGAATATCACTACATAGTATAAAACAATGTTGTCCCGCTGGCCGGCGGTCCCTATGTATGCTTAGATCTTTAAAACTACGCAACGGATCTTGATGCGGTTTTTTTCATTATAGATCCGTGCGCAGCCGCTTGTTATATATAAGTCAACTGTGGCAATATTTGGTATTTAATTAATGTAGCAGGACTGCTGCTACTTTCCAAATCATCTGCACTTTCCAAGTAGCGCGGATCTACATTACGTATAGTATACCTTACCCTTTTGTTATGTAGATTTTGATCATGAATGGTTGAGCACTGAAGGCACAACCAAATTACGGTTGAAAAACTGAAACATTCTGTTTCTCAGGTCTACCACTTTTACTGCTAAGTATCTAGATAAGATAGAAAATTGAATCTCATTCTTAAAAAAATATTCTCTATATTTGATTAACTTTAGAATATAGTGATATACAATATCATTATTATACGATCATTCGTATGCTTCCAATCACTACATAATATGATTATTAACCATAGATAGATTTACACGGGTATATACGTTATAGCTTTGGGTAGAAGCAAAGTTATTAATAAGAGCTTATATAGAAAGTAATTTATCAAAAATGCCATCAAAGAAGAAATAAAATTTTCGGCTTCAAATTTGCGATTTTATTGTTATTCTTCGATCTTAATTATGCCTTTTTCGTCAATATCTTCTTCATCAAAATCTTCTTCAAAATGAACATCAAATTCTTCTTCACCTGAACCGAAATCACCACTTCCTTCGTCATTGAATAAAAGGTCTGAGAGTTCATGTATATTTTCTATAAGTGCATCGGATTCATCAACTTCGAAGAATTTCAAGGCGTCACTTTTTATGTGGCTCGTAATGTATCGAAAAGAGTCAACTAAAACAATCTCTTTATTTCGGCTGCGTCCTACAAGATTAATCTAGAAAGATAAAAGAAATGAAATTTACAAGTATTCTCATGGTATTATTAGCAATCCGTGAAGAAAAAGAAAATCATTTAAGGAATCATGTGTTGTTTATACCTACGATGGAATTTGGTAATTTCTTATTTCATTTTTAGTTTTTATTATTTTATCACAGCAATACTTCGAATGTCATTCTTATTTATCAAGTAATTTTTGCAAACATACGCGTTTACGTTTTTAAAACATTGCTAATTTTTATTTTATTTTTAAAACATTATATAACTAAGGAGATTTGATTATCATTTTAACTAATTTCTAATGAAAATTTTAATATCAGAATAATTTTTACTTTCAAAACGTACCTAAAATTAAAATTTTGCACAGAGATAAATCATCATTTCAATGATACTTACGTAACCGGTTACACTTGTGTTGATTGCTATCGATAGAGTAGTCCATCCGGGTTTGTAGCCTATACTAGTTCTGTTATACGAATAAGATATTATCGGTACACTACTTTCATCGAATACGGTCGCTGTCAATCCGCTGTCCTCACCAAACGCTTCAAGAAACACATTCAATTCCAGAATGCTGTTACGGAGGAATACCATTGAGAATGACGACATGCAGCTTTCTCTCCTAGATCTAATCCCTCTCTGACTTTTTTGGAACGGCGAGGTGATTTTTAAGCTTGAGTAATCCGTCAGAACCCAGTTCTCATCGACGGCACACGTTTTGTTGTTAAAGGTCTTCTCGAAGTCGACGTCAAAAGTGTAGCTGACGCCAATCAAGTCCTGAGATACCACGGTAGAGAGCATGACTCCGATGAGCGCGAATCCCAACATGTCATATTTCAACAAGTGGTTCTTTTGAAGGCGCACCAAGTACTGTCTCCAGCAAAAGAAGTTCCATATTATATTGATAAATAATCGTAGTGCATACAATATAACAATTGACGGAGGAACATGTCAATGTTTAATTGAAATTTTATCAGTAAACAATAATAGTGTTGGAAACAATTATCGCTTTTTTTATTAATATGCGTGTTACTCTAATGTACATTTTCGTATCTCCGCATCAATTCACTCGAAATATTGATGAGATTACTGTTAGAACATGTTAGTCGCATTTCCAAATTTTTCCACTTTTTTGAATTTTTAAATATTGCGTGAATGCAGAGCCTACTATAAAAAGTAAAATTAATCAAACATTCATATGCGTTTCTCACATTGACAAATAATATTTTTTATACCCAAAGATTTTTTTAAAGTATTTCTAATTTATCAGAAGCTAATGTAATTTTTTTTCTTTTACTTATGTATAAAATTTGCATGCATTTCTCTCTGTCTTGTTAATATTTACCTAGTACTTTTACTAGCAAGCCGTCGTTGAGATGTCGTTCTTGCGATAGTTAGGTAGTGGAATCAATTCCATTTGCCATGAACTGTATACTGAAATTCGATACCACGACCTTTCATTAAAAATTTAAAAAGTTTAAAAATTATTATCACAAAATAATTTTCTTTACGTACGCCAATACTATGTGAATATAACTTATTTTCAGATTTTATATGGACTGATATATTCGGCGTCCCTTTATCACTGTTAACAAGGGCTCCTCAGAGAAATAAATAAATATAATTAATCATTAATAGATCCATCCCAACCAACGCCTGCTGTATTTTGAAGGCTCACAGAGTGGTGTTCTCAGGGGGACCACTTGCCAATGGCGCATTTGCTGCGTTTTTGTGTAAAAATAAGCGTTTTTAGTGCTTTATTGATCTCCATGTTCTATCACTTTGTTTTGTGACGTTTAAATTGGGCGATCCCTTTCAAGGCCACAGATATTTATATTAAGAATCCTAGCCCCTACGCTATTGAGCTTTCCAATCGTAATTTTTTCATTTCTAATTGATATAAGAACAGGAAATGGAAAATAATCAAGGATGTCTAGTCCACAGTTCTTGGTTGCAGACATGGAAATAGGATTTGATAACGCATTGTATTTAGTTCGCTGCTGATACCGTTACAAGTTTATACGAAGGCTATTTAGATCTTTGCTTGATTACAAGATAAATTAAGTGTTAATTAAATTATATAATTATGTCAATTTAGACTTGCAACCTTTTTGTCATTGCAGTGATAAAAATGCCAGAAATAGAATTTTTGAGTCAGAAAGATAACAAACTACTACACCTAGAGAAATTTACAGTCTGGTACTATACAAATCTATGGAAAAATTGCGATATGCTCAACTTTTTATACAACGTAAGTGTCTTAATTAATAATTATAAAAGCTCATCTAATCAATCTAGAAATAACGAAGGAATACGCAAAAACTATAGGCATGAAATACGTAACAAAAAAAATTTAACCTGAATATTATAATCTATATTTTAATACGTGAAGCAAAAACTTTGCACCCTTTTTTGCATCAATAGATAGATAAAAATGTAAACAACTTAAACCTGAATAATAATAATCTATATATTAATTATGTTTACTCGTATATAGAGAAGGAGTGCAGGAGGAGGCGTGTTTTTGTTTTAAAAATTATGCATAATTTTCACATTAAATACATATACAATGCCATATATAATTAATTATGGTTGAATTTCGACTACTAGTAATAATAAAAAGGTGTAGAGGAGTAATGACCCCAGTGTACGATGGGGTCATCACCGGTGTAAAAGTTAAAGTGTTAAAACTTTTGCGTCGGCGCAATCAGTCAACGTCTTGCCAAGAGTTGTTTGCACCGTGCCTCGGCAAAAGTAAGGGTGCATACACTCGCCTGTGCGTATCGTCACACTATTGAAAACGGTGCGGGTCTGGGGGCGTCTCCCGTTAAATGACTTCCTAAACAATAATGGACGATGGACACTCAAGGAATGCGCATAGGGCTGCTGCGGGAGGGGGGGGGGGGGGGGGGGGGCGCTAGGGCGCGTCTAGACGTGGTAACACGTAGGATGCCAGCAGAGCGCGGGGCACTGCACGACCACGAAGCTGTACGTCGCATCCATCATCTCCACCAGTTTGCAGTTCGGCACCCGCCGCTGGTGGATACGCCGCGCCACTTGCGCTGGATGAATGATATGAATCATATTCGAACGCAGCGCAAAGCTAAACAGATGAACGTATACTTCTTTTATGTCATAAGATGGCAAGCGAGCTGGCAGCTCACCTGATGGTAAGTGAAAACTGCCGCCCATACACTTGCTACACACATAGTGTTGCACAGGCGTTGTCACCATTTTATGAAGTGGGCCCCGGCTACCTCACTCACCTGACAAAACGCAGAAGCATAATACTTCTACTCCATGCCGGTCTTCTGTGAGGTCGAGGTACTTCCCAGAACGGCAGGTCCGTTCCCATTCGTGTATCAGGGAACCGATGCGTGGTACCGGTCCAACACAACTCTACGCCGTAGTCGGGTAAAAAGTAAATAATGCCATCTTGTGTCGTGAAATTGTGTAAAAACCGAACAGGTTCCCAGAAAAAGCGTCAAGGGATAACATATGACAGGTAAGACACTAATTTAGCTGGTTGAATTATTAATATTTTTCACATTTTAAATATATTACTATCGGAATATAAATACTTAACAGATGTATAAGTTGTTGACAGGAAATTAATGGATAATTTTCTCAAGAGTTTGGGTGATTCATTTTATAGTGTTATTTTTAATGTTATAATATGCAAGCATTGATTAAGATTATTTTTATATATTTTTTACACCAAATCAATCATGGAATAAGGCTCCTTCCATCTTTAGCGTTAAGCCATTAAATGTAATTTATAACGGTTTATTTATTTTTTTGGTTTGATTGAGATGTCAAAAAGTTGTTATTGATTGTCAAGATTCAATTGGTAACCAAGCATCATGTTTCATATTTAATAGTGTTTCATTGCAGCATTTTTATTGTCATTCATACAAAAGAAATATTTAATTGTAAATTTTAAATAATTCAAGAGGACTTCTGTTACCGTTTTACTACAATCAATGAATAAATTGGAAAAAAATAAATAAAATATACTTATATATATACTAAATATACTAATACATAGTATAATTCAAATCACACATAGACACACATATATAGTATGATGCATCATTTTCGATATTCCTGGTGCGGAGTTCTGTTATTTTACTTGTCCGCTCCTGTCACTCCTTGAGACATCGTTTGGTCCAACAACAATGGATTTGTCGCAATTAGCAGATGCGTTATGTAACGATAATTATATTATACAAGCATCAAGTAGGTACTAGCAATAGTTTTTGGTCAAACAAGAATAAAAATGTAAAAAGGCTTGGTATTGTATTAGTTATCAGCTTTGGAACCAAAGTAACTTGATGTAGAACTAGAGTTCGAATTTATTTGATCACGTCCATATAGACATAATAGGTCAATCTGAGATTCTCTTCATGATCAACGGATTTATGGGTTGGCCGAAAGCGTTTCCCATCAAAGAAATTAAGGCAGAAACGACAGTTTAATTAATGTATAATGGGATGGATAGCAATTTTCGGTTGCTACCAATAGTCACGCGCGATAAGGTTGACAATTTGGGATAGGTTTGTTTGCCAAACTGATGAAGTTGTATAAACAAAATCTGAGCAAATCCGTATTAGAGTAATGCTGTCGAAAGATGGCACAGACCATTAAAAATAATCTTAACAGCCTGACTATCCTACGAGATGAAAGTGTGAGAGCAGCCGAATTGACATTCGCTAAAATTGTAAACGTATGGTTTTAGTTTATGTAGTAGACTGACTTATCAACAGCAACATTCTATCATTACTGATTGATTTTATATACGTTCCAGAACTAAGAAAAATGTTGAATAGAGTAAAGTATTAAGCGAAGTTCATAAAAATTTAAACCTCGATTACAACGGGCCATTTAATGTGTTAAGTGGAAGATTGAAGATTTAATAAATTCAAACTGTTAACCGCAAAGATAAAATTGCAATAGATAGGCTCCCATATGTTGGGAGGTAGACGCGAAGGATCCAATTCTGATTCAAAATAACTAGAAGAAGTGTTCAAACCTCTAATTACGACAGCAAAATGGCAACATCTGTTACGAAATTTGAAATGTTATGCATTTTTTCCTTATAAGTAGCCGTGTGAATCATTTAGAAGATTTCCAATCATTTTTATCTAGGTGACCGAGCTTCCACCACGTGTTATTTTTGTGTAAAATCATGTACTCGATAAGGTTATTTGCATTCGGATAAATTTATAAAGCGCCATCTCACAAAGTTCTAAGGTATCAATAGGCTAGCATCCAATAACAACAACGCAGGTACCTCAAAAATTTACAAGATGGCGCTATATATTATATTATATTTTCACAATGAAAGTGACAACTCGTGAATGAATGTTTTTTTCTGGAAAGACGCCTGTTTATATAAATATACACATTTTGCTCGTGTTCTAAGAAAAGCCTTCGTAAATTAACTAATTCTATTATTCTGATCGTTCTTTTCTCAACTTTAAACTATCGAAATTCTGCATTATATTAAAAAAAAAATTATTAAATGTATTCAAAAGTTTCGTCGCGGGGTCAGATACTTTTAATTTATCGAAATAACACTAGTACACGATTTAAAATAAATCCCTCTATCATTTGAACTGTGGTAGGACCACGCAACAGTGTTCACTGTTACACGAATGGGCAGGTCAGTCCAGGTTAGTACCACGACCTCACAGAACGGCGTGAAGTAGAAGTAGGTATTACAATTCTTCGTTTGGTTTGGTGAGTGAGGTAGCCGGGGCCCACTTTATTAAAAGGTGACAACGCATCTGCAAATGGGTTTTGCAAATGTCCATGGGTGGCGGTTA